ACCCCCCCCCCCCCCTCCTTAGTGCTCTTGATCCTAACAATTTAAGCATTCATAAATATATCTTTTAATAACAATGCACATACATGTTAAAATCCTCATCTAAAAAAATGCTGAATTTTTTCACATGCTTTTTCCTCAATAATGTTCAAACCTATTACCTATAGTGTGTCTCTAATTTTATGACTACTTATAACATCTCTATCTTAATCTAAGTGGCACCTGATATTTAGATGAAAAAATGTAGATGCCTCACCCTGCTTTAACCGCCCTCTTTATAAATATTGTCTTCATCAATCTTCCCTCTGTGCTAAAAACTAGAATCGAGATAACTTAAAACTTTGAGTTTTAAGAATTTGTTTGTGTACCTTAATTATACTTTTAATGATTTTCTTAGGATTGCTAAGTTTCCACTATGCCTTACCTAAAACCCTGAGAAATGTATATAATTTGGTCAACAAAGTTAAATAAAAAAAGAAACTGGTAGAATTTTAATGTGTTCATCTAACAATACTTAGTTAATGTTTTCTCATACAGATAACTGGATAATATAGCCTGTCATACATTTATTAACGGTTGCATATATAATATATATGCATATATAGAAAGCGATAAAGTTTTTATTCTCCATATGATCCCAAAACATGGGAGTTGTTTGTAATTTTTGTGTCCTAGATTACAGATCATTGTAGTATTACTTCCTTTCCTTAATAAGGTTCTAAGAAGAAAAGCATTGTACACATTATAGGAAGATACATATGGAAAAATAAGTCCACAAATGTTCTGAAATTAAGCTATTAATAAGCCCTAATCAAAGATCAAATCAAATAGCAACCACAAATGAAAAGAAAACGAAGTCACAGGAAATTTATTACTTATAATTCACCATAAAAAAAACAAATATACGACTTAGTATATGGTAATCAAACAAAAATAAAACGAGAAAACAAATGGGATTACATGCTTGCAACTTTCCCAGATACGAACCAACCTATAAGAACAAAAAGGAACAACAACATTCCACGAAAGAAACATCAACCGAAGATGCTTCCTGCTGTCCGATCCATAATTCCAACAGTGTATTCTTTACGAATCCCATTGACAGAACAGAACTAAAAAGGAAAAATAATAATAGACTTACAAGACGAAGATGTGCACCACGCAAACTCTAGAAGATTGTACCTCAACAGTCAAGGAGCCGTCTTTCTTATTTGTCCGGACCTCTCCTTCTCCCTATATATATAAATCGCGATATCAGCGTGGCAAGAGGATGAGCAAACCAACAATCGATTAGATAACGACAACAAAGGAAACGGTACCCGTATTAGAAATGAACCCTAGCCCCAATCTATTGCGATGGAAGAAGAGTTCCCGGCGAGCACGAGGCCGGGAGGGAGAGAGAGGTACGGACAATGGGACTTCCTTTGTACGGCCACGGTCTCGTTTGCCCCTCTCTTATACTGTGTGACCTACACATGCGACAGCTATTAAAAGCTGATGGTAGGAAATAGGTGCTGTTATAGCAAAAGATACCGTCGGTTTCATTTCAAACAAAATTCGAAAATACAAAAATATTCGCAAAATACGAAAATACAAAAATATTCGTGTCATATAGGAATACGGCTTTTGATTGAAGGGCAAATTTGTACGTCAGTTAAAAGGAGGATTTTTTTTCTTATTATATTTATCCTTGTAGTGTCACTGGACCATTTATCAAATCATATTTTTATTTATAATTCAAATATACAAAACTACATATTATATGGGTGCTCACTTACATACCTTCATCTTGAGTAGCGACAGGAGGCAGAGCAAGGGAGATGGTCAACTTCTTTCTTTCCTCTTCTGTGGCAAGGAACTGAGGGGGAGAGGTTTTTATAGGTGGAGATGTGCTCCGTCATATTACATCCCATTCCAAGGGTGAATTATCGAAAAGAAAATACATCCGTTTTCGATTTTTTTTTCCTGAGAAATGCCTTTCGTTTTTAAAATTTTCTAATAATGTTTTTATTTTATCTAACGCATGAAATACCTTCAGCTATCTCCCTTTCTCCTTTTTTTTTTTATATGCATCGTCTTTTTCTTTTTTTTTTCCCTATGCACCCGTCCATATGTGAACCGATCCAATTACTATATTTTTATATTATGTTACAGTATTTTTAGCTATAACATGAAAGCATTATAGCACAATACTATACCATAGTGTTTTCATACTACGCTACAGTATTTTCTTGCTATCGCTGAAAACACTATAACATAGCATAGTGTAAAAATACTGGAAAAGAAGGAAAAAGAGAGCGGTGAAATCAAGAATATTCCAAGTATCAGGTAAAAATGGATTTTGAAAATGAGATGTACTTCTCAAAAAGGAAGGTTTGTTTTCAGAAATGCTTCCTATTATATAATGAATAGAAACAATATATATATTAACTATTGGTTACCATCAGATTTGTATATGTTCTGCTTCTGTTGGGGCGCATAGGTGGGTCTAATTCCTATTTCAGTAATCATGTGTTTCTGCTAATCTCTTCAGCAAATTGCATTACGAACGTTCTCCCTTTCATTTTTTTTACTGGATGATATGATTTAACGCATAAGAAAATGAATCTAACACTGTTGTGGGCTGTAAATGATAGTGTGGACACTAAACGGGCATGAACTTTCCAAACGTGAAAAAACAATGGATTATTTGCACATTATTGCCATTTTATTTGAATACAAGAAAAGAACAAAATTGAAATCTAATCCGAAACAACAAGATCTTCTGAAGTTAAACAGTTTTGAATCAGGGAGGAAAATGGAGAGCAACAGCTGCAGGTAGGAAAAAGAAAAGCTTTGCCTCCCTTCGTTGTTCCTGGTAGTAAATGGAGCGAGCTACTCCGTAAGAAAGAAACCGTGGAGTTTTTTTGTGTCATGTAGGATTCACCATGACGCTTCCTGGTTATTATTGCTTGTACACAGTAGCTATGGGATGGGTGTACACGTATTATTTGACAGGTTATTAACCGAGTTAAACTGTTAAATGACTAAAGAACGGACAATAAGAGAGCCTTTTTGAGTCTGCTAAGAACTTTGATATTAGAAACCAAACAAATGAATTATGTGAAATATGGTTAATGGTATATCACAATTTATGAATCGTCCACTGCCTTAGAGACTGCGAAAACTTGTTCTTCATGATCAAAAAACAATAAATATGTATTCCTTGGTCCATTTTTTCTTTTCTCACATTATCTCGTCTTCTTGTTTTTATTTCCTTTTCTCGTATTATCTCATCTTCTCCTTTTTTTCAATGATCTTTTTGCAGTCATCGGATGTATCCTTAGCTACCAGTCAGTTACTCTTGTCTCATTAATTGTGAGAGCTACTGGTGCTCGACTTAAGAAACAAGAAAGATACTGACCAATTTAATTGGTAAAGACCTTGATTATTAAAAAATCGTAGCCTCAAATCTCAAATTCCTTGTTATCTTTTACCTTCTATAAAAGGAAAATAAAAATAAGAGAATAAAGATAACTGACTTTGATTATTTTTTTCTCCTTTTAGGGTCTTGTATTAATTAACCGATCTATTTGCAATACTTTTTGAACGAAATTTCTTATACACTTCAAGGATCATCTTGACTTCCATCTAAGATTGATTTATTAAAGAATTCATCTCGAAAAATGTTCTTATGTTACTGCAAATTTTCGTCGTAAGCCGCTGAAATATTTCAACGAGAATTCTACTATCACAACTTGCACCAAATTCCTTGCTGTTATACTATCGAAATTTTCTTGATTAAAATGGTTATCCTTACTGTCATATAAAATGAGATTTTATTGTCAATTCTCTACTCAAATCTCTCGGTTTTTGCTACAAATTTCATCGAGAAATCACTGTTTTTTTAACGATAATTATGCTCTTACAAGACAACACATACTTGCAGCAACTTCCACTGATTTCTATCAAACCTTTGCTGTCATCTACCACAGATCTAAAACTTTTTCCCTAACCTTGATCTACTACCATCACAGCCCTAAAACTCCACCAAACCACACCCTCAAACTGCACCCAAAACAACCACAAAACAACACAGCCTAAACCACAGCCTACATCCACCGATCCACCAACCCTTTCGACCATCACTTCTCTCGACCTATATATGTCTTTAACTCAACAATAAAAGAGAGATCTTAACATCATAGATTTGGAGGCATATACTATGACATTTGAGGAGGCAATCAATGCTAAATTCGAAGCCTTCAAGGCCCAAATAAAGGATCAGATTCGGATGCTATTTACTGAACTCAGATTTGGCAAACCACCAAGCCCGAAGAAATCACATCAAGGAGAGAGCTCTGCCCAATCGCACCAAGCCTGAAGAGGATTTCCAAGAGAGGGGAGACTCTATGACCGACCTCAACTATTCACGCATGAGGGTGGACTTCCCTAGATGGGAAGAAAGAGACCCGATTGGTTAGATCTCGTGCGCAGAGCGATATTTTCGGTACTATAAAACCGCGGACACATCTATAGTGGAAATTATAGCTATACATCTTGAAGGGGATATCATATAGTAGTTTGACTAGTTTGAACATACTCATGGAGTCCTCTCATGGTAACAATTCAAAGAAGGACCGCTGATCCGCTTTGGACCAACCGATTACGAGAACATTAACGGACAACTAGCAAAGATCCGATAAACCTCCATCATTCAGGAGTACCAAACCAGGTTTGAAAGGTTATCTAATCAAACTCATGATTAGTTTGAAAAATAGCTATTGGAGACCTTCATTGAGGGCTTGAAGTCGGAGATCCGGGAAGAAGTTAAAGCGCAACAACTGTACATGCTTAAGGCAGCCATCTCTTTCGTACGATTTCAAGAGGAGCGATGGAACCATAAAGCTCGGAAGACTAAGGTCACTCCCCGACCAGAAATACTGAAGCCCTCAGCCCCCCCTACTGTCAATCGAGTCCCTGCACTAAAAAGGTTGACAAGACAAGAGCTTCGGGAGTGATTTGTAAAGGGGTTATGTTAGCACTACGACGAGCCGTGGAGCCTCAAGCATCGCTGTAGAAAGGGGAGACTTCTTATGATTGAACCAGTAGAAGAAGAGGTCATTAAACATTTAGAAGAGAGCCTTGAACATGAAGAAGAAGATGCGGAAAAAGATCAACAACCGACCGATGTTACGATACACGCACTAGCCGGCTACTTAAACCCACAAACGATGAAAGTTGGAGGCCTTCTAAAAAAACAACCGATCATTATTCTCATCGATATGGGCAGCACTAATAACTTCATAAATAGTAAAGTTGCTGCTCGGATGGCACTCCACATCGAAGGTTGCAGCAAGTTCGATATAAAGGTCACCAACAGAAGAATCCTAAAGTGCGACCAAAGATGTCCGCAGGTGAAACTATTACTGCAAGACCAAGAAATTATCACCGACTTCTTCCTCCTACCAATTGATGACTATGAGGCCATGCTTGGCATAGAATGGCTAACGACACTATGTGATGTCTCTTGGAACTTCTCCAAATTAATTATGAAATTCTACTACAAAGGCAAACATATCATCTTACGCCGGAAACGCGGAAGCAACGTAACCATCGTTTCAACCCAACAAATGGAGAAAGTTTTGCACAAGGTAAATGGTGGCTTTTTGATGCATCTCTAGCAGCAACCAGAGGGGAGGAAAATAGAAATTGAAGATCAAATTCTTGCCCAATTGCTTGCTGAATTTGCCGACATTTTTTCTTAGCCACACAATCTTCCTCCGACTCGACAACATGACCATCAGATTCCAATCCTTTCAGGAAAGTCACTAGTGAACACTCAATCGTACCGATATCCTCACCTCTAGAAGAATGAAATTGAAAAGATCGTAAAGGAGATGCTTGAAATAGGGATGATTCGGCCAAGTTGCAGCCCTATTCCTCATCGGTGCTACTTGTACATAAGAAGGACGGAACTTGGCGGATGTGCATCGACTACCGAGCTTTAAATGATATCATAGTCAAGGACAAGTACCCAATACCAATGGTAGATGAACTTCTTGATGAGTTAAAAGGAGCTCGAGTATTCACGAAGTTGGACCTCCGATCCGGTTACCACCAAATTCAAGTATGTGAAGATGACATTCCAAAAACTGCATTCCACACACATAACGACCATTATGAATTCTTGGTAATGCCTTTTTGACTCACTAGTACTCCTTCAACCTTCCAAAGTCTCATGAACGATATTTTTCGGAGCTTTCTTTGTAAATTTGTGCTGGTATTTTTTGATGATATTCTCATTTACAACCCTTCTCTTGAGACTCATTTTCAATACTTACGGGTTGTTTTGATGATCCTTTAGGAGAATATTCATTTTGTTAAGCAGCCAAAGTGCAGTTTTCTCTAGCAAAAAGTAGAGTACCTTAGGCACATAATATCAGAAGGAGTGGTGGTAAACCCAATAAAAATTGAAGCA